TGCATAGCATTTTCAAGGAGCACTTGCATAATTGTGGTTTTCAGTGTGATTAGATTTTATCTAAATTTGGAAAGGGAAGGAATGTTCCTCATAAACAAACTGCTGGTTCTCTGGATATATGCCTTAATTGAGCAAAAGTAAATACATTTATTTCTCTTCTGCTGCTGCTTTCTGATTTTATGCACATTAATTTGTCACGCTAACAACCATCTTTCAAGAAATGATGAATTGTCAGATTTTTAAGCTACAGGTAGTGACAATAACTCCAATTTATTTAGAAAGTTCAATTTCTTGTCTTGCAAGAACAGTACCTTGAATATTGAATTACAGTAATTAAATAAGAAGTAAAAGCCAAGCTAAAAAGACAAAACAATTAAGGTAGATTAAAGCCTGTTAAAAGCTTGTGCATGTAAGTCTCTGAGTTTTAAAAATATTTACAGACTAAGGAGATTTGTATGGACCCAGTTAAAGAATTACTTGGCTTTACTAACCAAAACGAAGGGCATCACTGCTGAGAGCTCACTAGTAGCCATATCGTTCCTCCTGCTCTGGCCTGCTGGCAGACGAGTGATACTGGTGAGGCTGGTGTCTTCTGGACACATTCTAATCCTTGTAATAGATCCTAAACTGGGTACTGGGACAGAGTGTTTGATAGAAGTGATAAAGGATATGAAAACAAAGAACATGAGATGCAAATACATTGATTTACATGTAAGAGGCAAGGATAACAATTACCTTTTATCCTCTTAATTGGGGAACACCAAAAAGGTACTAAAACTAAAAATATCATCTGGCCCGTCTTGTACATCCAGTTATCTGGTACAGTATCTTACATTCCTGAGCCCAGCCCTTTAACAGTGAGGCATGGTACAGTAGTTTGTGGCAGACACCCACAAAACTCTGTGTGAAGAAGCACCTCCTGTGCTCATGCATGTCTGCTTAGGTCCTCAGCTTCTTGTTTAATCTTTTTGGCATCTGAACACTTGCTTCAGGCACCCTTTGTTTAAGAATCATCATATTGTGTTCCCGCCTAATGTAAAGCATTTCATTGTGTGTTCACATTTGTCTTCTTTAAACACTGTTAATACTGGGATTGTGAAGAACTGTGTGTCTCCTGCAGGAGGGTACAAGGGCTTCGGGCTGGGGCTGATGGTGGAGGTGTTCTGCGGCATGCTGGCGGGCTCCCAGTACAGCCGACACATCCGCACCTGGAAGTTCACGGAGCGCACGGCAGACTTGGTACGTAGTGCGCTCAGCCTTTCTGCTGTATAAAAGCCTCTTCACCGGGAGCACTGCAGACAACTCTCTCCACGGACAAGAGGACAGCCCTGATGTCTTGATGGTTGAATAAATCTCTGGAACAGTTGCAGCATAATTGAAAAAGGAAGCTCATAAAGGAGTTCAGATAGCAGAGTAGAACCTTCTTTCATCATTTATAAGTGGGATTAAACACAAAGGTGCTTATAATTGAAATAGTTCTTTACCTTCTATTTCCTATAACTCAAAATAAGCCAGTGGGCTTCTTTTATATCTTATATAGTGTCCAGTCTTTACAGAGGTATCCATAACTCAACCTCACTTCAGCCTGTTTTACCTGAGTCACCTATTGCTACCGAAATTCACTTCACAATTAAAAAAAAAAAAGTTTATAAAATAGAGTTCTTAAAGTACAGGTCCAGGGTATATCTTGCCTTGTACCCATTGTTTGCTAAAATAGGCTCTGGCTAATACGTGAGCCTGTACTGGATTAGGCAGTTAAAAGATGGATGAATGGAGGGAACTATAGGCAGACCGACTCCTGCAAAAAGGCTGGAAGTAGTTTGGTCGCTGTATGCTGACAATACTGCCCTCTGCTGGTAGATTACTGTACTACAGCTTCAATCCTCGGGTGTTAGTGTAGTCTATGTACTGTAGGTACAGTAGATTCTCACAACCTCTGGGTTGGTGGACCCCTTTTCTTGTAAAAATTCTCAGTTTAAACTTTACAGATAAATGATATAATGTTCATAATGGATTACTGCGTACCTTAAAGTACCTTTAAAGGATTTATATAATGTAATACTTTCATTCGCTCCTGATCCTGAACAACCTGGCCAAGACGCTGAAACTGTGAGTTTCTTTCTCCTCTTTTCAGCATGGAATTAACCTTTACTGGTTCCTTTGTGGCCAATGCACGCTGACACAGATGTAAACTCAGACATCTTCATGCTGTATTGACCTGTGAAGACCGGAACTGAATTAGTCTTTGACTCAGAAGGCCTCAGTGCCCACTGTTCCCCAGTCTTCAGACATTGAGGGTTGGAGATCCCTATGCACTTTGCAGGGCTGAAGTACTGAGGAACTCCAGGATCCGAATTACATCATACCAATATGAAAAAAATACTTGTTGAAACCAGATACACTGGGACATTAGCGTTTATGTACAGTTAAATTAAGGTGACTCAGCATGTTCATTGAAGTAACAAAATACTTTGAAAGCCCTGCTGCATTTTGGTCTTGGATGCCAATCTGAGCATTTTGATGAAAGTGGTATGTTTGAGGAAATTAAACCAGGAACTGGACTACAGTGTGAAATATTGCTATAGCAGCCTTTGACTGGGATGTGTGCAAGCTAGGGTCTAGCCACTACAGTACTATTACTGGGTTTTTAATGTGATGATGGTGACTGAGTTCATTCAGGACTATTTCTTTCTAGGAGGTATAGGTTTTATTATTCCTTCATTAACTCATTTTTGATCTGGCGACTAGTTTAAGATGTGTTTTCTGTTTCCTTTTTCAGGGCCAGTGTTTTGTGGCAATAAACCCTGAATGTTTTGCTCCTGGGTTTAAGGACAGAATGTCTGACTTGCTTTCTCTGCACAGAAATCTGGAGCCGGTGAGTGACTGTTTTACCCAAAGTTACCAACCTTCTCGATCTTCAGAAGGCTGCTCCTCTTTTGGCAGAAATTTCCCCATGTCCCCACTTTTTTTTGCACCAGTTTTTGGAATACTGTCCCAACTCTGTCCCACATTCACGGATCTCTTTGTACTTCCTTTATGACGAAAGCTCTAGGGAAGTGGAAATTCTCAGGTCAAAGCGCCTGGAGTTTTCACTGTACGAACCCCCCACACCTAATCATCTCCGTGCTCAGAGACACCATGTTGCCCTGGTACCATATGCTGGATTTGGGTTTAATGAAGTTACGCACTTAGTATTTCCTTTTTTTATGTCAAACACACGTTACGTACAATTGTAACAGTGAGGTGAGTGCAAGCTTTTTCAATTCTGTATACGGTGAACTGTGGGTAATTTCACACAGTATGGGGTTGTACCATGCATTTTGAATGTCTCCATCTGTAAGTTATTTGTTGTTGTTTTAACATTTGATTTCACAAGAAGCAGTGGGATTTTGTTGTTTTTTTGCTTACTGTGTCAATTAAAACCAAGCATAAATGTGAAATGATTTAATTTAGTTTTCCAAGACATTTACAACATTACTTTAATAAATGGGTAGTAAATGAATATTTAAGGGACAATGGATTAAGTGTATAATGCAGAATGAGAAAAATACTATATTTAAAAGTAATTACATACTGGATGTGCTGCACACACACACGTCTGTAATTACATGCTTAGATTTCACCTTTTCACTTCCTTATTACACCAGTCCATTTGAAATGGCCAGATCTGTGAACCTTCCATTTCGTGTCTTTCCCTGGAAAAGTGAACACAGCACACACAACACACAACACACAAGTTCAGACAAGTGTATCATTCGTACAGCTGCTTACTGTTACAGGACCAATGAAGACCTACTAGTGAGCAACTCACTAAGTCCACGGTTAAATATATTATACAATGGGTCATGACATATTATTTTATGATCATATACAAAGCTTGAAGGTCACTCAAGAGATTAATTTCTAGTTTAGGATTTTATGAAGCCACAAGAAGTTCCATGTTTGCTGAATTAAATCTGGCACATTCATTTCATTTGTGTGTGTTCATGAAATCTTCTAGGCTGAACTGGGGGTTCCTGTAATGGCCCCTGGAGACCCAGAAAGGAAGAACATCAGGAAATGTGAAGACCTAGGAGGCATCCCTTACCACATCAATGTCATCGACCACATGGTAGGTCCAGTAACGGTCATGTGTGTGGAATGGCAGGAGGTCAGGAGGTCAGACGATGTTGGGTAGAAACCTATGCCCTCAGGCTGCGGAGGAGACGACCTGGTGCTAGGCGGGTCTCAAAACATCTGAACCCTCAATGCTGAGCGAGGAGGAAAGGGTGACCCGGAAATATATAGTCCCACACAAAGACACACCGGAAGGACAAGTAAAGCACAGGGAACCTAGGGACAGGACAGAGTAGGAACGCCCTATAGATGTAGAGGGCGTGACAGTACCCCCCCCTTCACGGACGGCTCCTGATGCCCAAAAAACAAATGAGCTACAGAGCACCGTGGGGAGGAAAAACCTCATTTAACTGAAAGGAAACCTCCGGGAGTCCACGGCTGAGCGAGGAGGAAAGGGTGACTTGGAAATGTATAGCGTCAAACAAAGACAAACCGGAAGGACAAGGGAAGCACAGGGAAACTAGGGACAGGACAGAGTAGGAGCTGTAGAGGGCATGACACAAGTGGCATGCAGGGGTCATGTCTCTGCAAGCGGATCCTTACGGGTGAACTGAGAATCCAGAACCCCAGAATGAGGTTGTGCCAAGCAGCATCGCCAACGCAGCATCACTTTCTCTTCCACACACGTCTCTCTGGGTGTTTGGGATCGTCAAACACGCTTTGCTTCAAGGACTTACTGGGCACTTTAGTGTCAGGTTTAGGGTTTATGGATCACAGTCTAAATTCAGTTTTATTGTGTCATTTTAAGGACCAAGCTACCCAGCCGTGTTGTTAAACCCTATTCAAAAAATGGCTGAGATTCTTGGACCAGTTAACTACTAAATACCAAACAGACCTAGATAAAACCAAAAATGGCCTCCCATTGTTTGTAACATTTCTTATTTAAAATTCATACTGAGAGTAAATGCTCCTGGGGGTGGAAGGTTTTTTTTTAACTGACAGATGATTAAAGTGCAGTTCAGGTTCTCTTCACTGTGTTTTCTGTTTCCAGAATGGAGTTGCGAGGAGTGTCGGGGTCAGCCCTCTGCTGCCAGCCAACAGGCTCATAGCAAACTAGAGCTGCTTCTGCGAGAGGCCCCAGAAACACCGGTTTAGACAGAAGAGTTTTTAATGTGTGCTGCTTTTTAATACTCCTAGACAAAAACCGAAACGCTTGGCTCCTGTTAGATCAGTATTTCATGATGCACAATCCCACTTTTAAGAAAATGATATTGAGAGTCTTTGCATTCACTAACCACTCAGGTTCAACTCTTGTGGATTTTAATGTCAAACTAGTACGATTAGAGCTTTTACCAACACATTTATTTTAGACTGTCCAGAACAGAGTTAGGGCTTTTAGTTTTCACCTGTTAGCTGTTGTTCATTGGCAAATAATGCCAGTTGTGGAAAAAATAGTTTTCACCACTACAGGAGTTAGTTAAAATCAGATTCCAATAGGTACCTAAAAGGCATCCCAGAAAAATTATTCAGAGTAGATTAATCCCACCACAACAATTCTGTTCATACTCACCCAGTTTTAACCATTGCAGATGGATAGATGGAACACTACATGCCCTGAGGGGAAAGTGGAGGCACAGAAAAACAGATTTCACTTCATAGTAGACTGATCTTTTTCTCCTAAACTAAAGTACAGAGAAACTTGAGCCCTCAACACAGCTTACCAATTGTTTAATTTGAGTTCTCATTGTGCTTACACACCTTGTACAAATAAATTATTGACCAAACCAAACTTTAAAAAGCGACCAGTGCCGTTGTGTGTGTTTTTATCATAGCCAGTGCACACTGGGTCCGGGAGCCCTGGGGGACCAAGCCAGGCTGGGTGGCTCGTGTGCTGTTCCCCAGGGTAGGAGAAACATCTGCACAGCAGCGGGTATCTGGGCTTCCACTCCCCACCTGAAGACATCCTTCTGGAAGGGCTGGAAATGAGGGCGCCCTCTGCTGGCTGTTATGAGTCACGTCAGGGCGACTTGGTCTCTGTTGCACGTCTGTCAGCAGGCACTCCACCATGTGCACTGGCTCCTCGAAACAGAAAGCCTTCTGAGAGATGAGGAGGTACATGAGCCAGATCAGTAAGAAACAAACCCATTTAATGGACAGATGCATGCTATGTATTAAAATAAAGAGGAATTAGGAATATTATATTATTGGTTTTGAGTCCAGTTCATAGGAACCGAAAATATTTTAAGATGCATATAGTTTACTGTTTATAGGAGTGGGAATGATCCATTAAGTAATCAGGAATGCAATGGATGTAGATGCTTCATAGAACCAGCAGGGGTCATATTTGTGAAGCTTTCGTCTCTCCTGGAGATGAAAAAATGAATAGCAATTTGTCTTTTTTACCGTGCTTTGACACAGGCTCATCTTCATTTTGAACAGCATATAGTTCACTTGCTCACTTGCTCAAAGATCGCAGGCAATTTCCCTAAAGGTGTTGAGGAGGAGGAAGAAGAGGAGGCCTATCAAGCTCATTATGTTGCTACTACTAATATATTATGAGGATTAGCTACCATTGTTTTTACATGTACAAAGACTTAATTCTAATAATTTTAGTTTATTAGTCATGGAAGAAGAGAAAAGGCCATATATTTTAATAAATCATTGACCTCTAATTTACATTATACTAATATGTTGGGAATCCATGTTGTACAGGAATTCTTTGTAATAAATTTATTTTAATATTATTAGAAGAAGTAACTGCCAGAGCTGGAAGGCTGCCTCAGTGAGGAAACTGCCTGTGCAAGATGATTCATCAAAATCTAAAAATGTTGCAGAATATCCACTTTCAGTGTATTAATTACAACTAAGAATGTTAAGAGGACTGTGTACCTGCTTAACCAGGAATTAGAATGAAATTATTAAAGGCATTCAGGAATTGTCTGTCAGTTCTTGGGTTTCAAGGCATTGACGTGCTGCTGTTGTAGTGCAATTTGAAGCTGCCAACAGCAGCTGTCACCAGGCCTGAACTTTTTGAGTTCAATTAAGACCAGTGATGGCTTATCTGGTTTGTCAAGGATCCACAAGAGAAGGATTCAAGGTCACAACATACTGTACTGCGGAGCACTGTAAGCAACTTGCTCTCCTGGGGTTTCAAAATCTTTCTTGATTTACAGTAAGTACACGGCTGTTCATGTAAAAATTTATAAAGTGAAAACTTAATGATTTCTGATGTAACATGAGAAAGGATTAGATGTACCAAAATGTGGTTCATCAAAATCTGGCCAGGTTGCTGGAACATATTTTTTACTGTAAACCAATACACACTTACCCTGAACGAAGAAGACCTGACTAGACCTGGACATTTCAATGCAAAACAGAGGGTGGATGGAAACCATCACTTGGCTGTCTGGCCCCCTGTCTGCCAGCCTTTTGTTTGGCTAAGCAACTGAGGTGCCTGTATCTGCCAATACGTTCTTCAGGAGTAAAATCACAAATCCTTTCCTCCCGCATCGTTTGTCTTGATAATTACCAGGGAGCATGCAGGCTGCTTGATCCCGAACGGCCTGAGGAATGTGAGAGTAAACAGAAACACATGCACACAGTTCCAGGCGAGGGCTGGGTCCTGGAAAATGCGGGCCATCTTGTTTGAGACTCCTGGCACACGAGGTGCTGCACAGTTCACTGGCCAGACTCTGGAGCAGGTCCTGGAGTTGTCATTTTCCCTTAGCCCTTAGTGAGTTAACTGATCATTAGCTTAATTGAACCATTTGAACACTTTGCAAAGGTCTTTCGCTGTTGATAATTTAAAGAAACCTGGAGAACCTGGAAAGTCTGCTGGATAGTGGCTCTCAAGGACTGGAGAGGTGGTTGCTGGATGCTGCACCTTGTTGATCAAAATGCTTCTACAGCTCTGAATAACCTTCCAGTACTGGGGCTGGCCAGGATGTACTGTACACTATGGCTGTTGCCACATTCACGGCTCTTCACTGCCTTAACAACAGCCTTCTCTGCAAGTACATTGATTCTGATGGTGGAGTCAATGACCGGTTGAGTTCATTTCACATTATACTTCAGCATTACAAGAATTAGTGACGCCATGTTAGTCAGCAGCACTGCATGAAAATTCGGGACACAATCACACTAAGTGTGGGAGAAGCTTTTATTTGAAGCTGAAATCTTAATTTTAACGAAACACAAACCAATCGTAGGCTGCTGTTAATTTTACTACACCCCCCCCCCTTTTCGAGAAATGCCCTAGGATTTTCAATGATGACAGAGAGTAAGGTCCTCTGTTTTAAGTCTCGTACGAAGGACGGTATAGTATAGTGAACTACTGCTGCGTCCTGGCCAGGCTCACACCTGCTGAGCTTCAGTGGGTTGCCGGCTGTATGCAGCTTTAGCCAAAACTGACTTTATGATTCTGCTTCCAGGCCAGAGGTACAACAGTTAAACCGCCAGCTGACTATAGTTCTTGTAACTACTGTATATACAGAAGGCTTTAGTGTCTAAACTGAGTGCTCAAAGTGGCAAAATAGCAGTGCAAAGTATAATTACAGATTCTTAAACATGTGGGGCCATATTTTTAGAAATTTTAATTGTTGCTCCAAGCAATAGCCTTTAAAATGTATAAAATCAGGGGTTTTTAGATCTAAAAAACCTGGTGAAGTCAGGCCAAAGGTTTCATTTTTCAAAGAAGTCTAGGAATTTAAAGAAAGTCTCAGTGGTTTTTCCAAAAGGCCAATTGTGCAAAAACTTCCTTACTGGATGTCTGACACATCGTTTCATTCTTTGAATTTTCTGAAGCCTGTTCTCTGATTCTTCCTGTCTGCTCTTCAGTCTTTAAAGCCGGAAGCAAAGTAAGATTAGCATAAGTTCTGACATGATATTCCAGTGTAGACTAAATGTAATCAATGACATGTTTACACCCTTCTTCATCAAAGAAACATCTGGGTTTTATTGTTCATTTCAGCACCATGTCATTGACACAGAATTCTTGATGCTGACTTAATGCTGATTTAATTTGAGAGTGTTGATGTTGAACCTTTTCTCATGTAGAGAGAAAATCAATTCAACGGGTTTACTGTGAAGAGCTGCTGGACCACACACAACAACGGCCCCTTCCTGATGTTCTTGCACTAGAAGTCTATCTTGCTAGAAGTTTGTTAAATATGTTGCTTAGGCACTGTACCAATTTCCTATACATAGAACTAGGCAGAATTATGATATTAATGGTAGCCAGCCCGACCATTAAAAGCAACGAACACTTTGCATATATATTCCTATAGTTAGTCCAGCCCAGGTACTGCTATAAGATCCAATGCAGATAAACAATTTCACTTCAGAATGATCACATTTGGAATTTCGGTGTGGTAAGGGAAAGTGTAAGAGGCTTATCCAGTCTTCTCATTTACAGTACCTAATGTTTATCCTTAAGTGTTCATGACAGAGTGGAATATCCTCCTGGCATTGTTGGAATTCCCTTGCTTGAAATGTTACAAACTGCCATACAGGGAGGTGACATATGGAAGGATGTTAATACTGCCGTTATTTCCCTATTATTGAAAAAGGCAAAGGTCATACACTCTGTGCATGTTATCACCCTGTGTGCTAAGGTGCTACTGCACTCCTAGTAAAGGCTCATCAGCCCAGATTAGCACGCCTTGTTCTGACAGGTTTTATTACAGGGCAACTAATAATGTTTGCAGCCGCTTGTACACTGTACATGCAGCTACAAATGCTGCCTTTCCCTGTGCTGTTCTTTCATTGAAAGGCAAGAAGGCTACATTTCACTGGCTCAAGGGGGAATATCTACAGTTGGTGTTGGATTATATTGGCTTGGGAACAGGATTCATCAATATGGTAGAGGAAAGCAGCTGATGTCAATAACAGGCAATATGTGTTCTTCTCACCTTATTTGTAAGGGCACTCATGCCTTGTCTTAAGAGCTCCAAGCTCAAGCAATCCATTGAACTATTTCTACCAACAGTCCTCAGCATTGTGTATTCCTCTATGCTGATTTATTGCTGTTGACAATGTTCCCCAGTTCCTGCTTCAATGTGTTCAGTACTCTATCACTTCAATTTATTGGTTAAAGTCCAGATTTTTCCATCTTTACATTTCACAGTGGAGAGAACCATGTTACTTTTTAGTTGCTTCAGATACCTTGGTATTGAGCTGCATTCTTCTGTAGAAGCAGAAACACACTAAACAATTTTTACGATTATGTTTTAAACAGAAAGGTGTTGACAGGAACAGATGGACACATTTTCACTTAAAGCTTCCAGGATAGAAGTGAAGAAATAATGATACTTTGACTTTCACTCCCTTGGGCCCACAGCAGTGATTTATTTAAATACCTGCAAATGTACTCAAAGGAAGTTGTGTAATGTAAACTGATACCGCGCCAAATAATCTTAATCTTTTAAGATTAAAATATGTGATGAAATGTTCCTGAAGGAAACTGATGTGACATAAAAATCCAGTGTTAACTGTGTGACTGAAATGAACAATGTGGCATTGAGATCAGCTTTGTTTGTGGCAGGTATGTAGTCTGCGTGAACATCTGGAAGCTCAGATGTCTCATTAAGCCAAGAGTGTGTCATGTGATTATATAAAAGATAACATAATGAGGAAGCAGACAAGACCAGAGATCAGAGAGTCAGACAAATCACAGGAAAGGCAAGCAACTAAAAAATAATACACACCGTAGTTTTAAGGAAGTTCAACGTGAAGAAATAAATACTGTATAGCTGAGTTTCCAAGAATCTGATTCTGTTTCTTGAACTTCAATTCAAGATCTGGTTTGTTTAAACACTAGGATCTGCAGTGATGGTATGACACACTAGAAAAAAAAAGATTTAAAAAAACTTTATGGTGGTTACTCATCGATCCATCCATTTTCTAACTGCTTCATCCAATGAAGGGTCACTGGAGTGCCGGAGACTTTCCCAGCAGCCAACTGCAGGGCAGAAACAGACAGGCACACAGTCACACCAGGGCCAGTTTTCCCAAAAGCCAATTACCCTACCAGTATGTCTTTTGTCTGTGGTCACAGGAAACCAGAGCAGTGGTCAATTACAGCATAACAGGGGTATTTTCCACTGAATAGGAACTTGCTACCATTGTACCCATCCATAAAAAGGGTGAGAAAAACCAAGCAACTATAAACCAATAAGAACATAAGGATACAAAAACAAGAGGAGGCCATTAGGTTGGTCAAGCCTGTTTGGTGGTTAGTTCATAATTGATCCAAGGATCTCATCCAGCAATTCTTTAATGAAGCCAAAGTATTGGTTTCAACCACATGGCTCAGTAGCTTGTTCCATACTTTCACAACCCTTTGATTAAAGTGCTTCCTATTCTCACTTTTAAATGCTCATCCACATAGTTTCCACTTAAGTCTTCTGGTTCGTTTCACCATTCATTTGGAAGAAGTCCTGATTTGACTCTGCTGATGCCTTTGAGGATTTTGAGCACTTGTATCAAGTACGCTCATAGTCTTCTGTAGCACACAGCTCTGTTGTTTCAGCCTGTCAGTGTAGGACAGTCTCTTAAGTCCAGGTGCAATCAAAATAATTTGTGATTTGTCATGATGTCCTTTGCAAGATCTCCACAGAGCGTTTTACTTAATTATGTTGTAGGCAACATTTTTTTTTAATGGCAACAGCACTTTCTCAGTGTCCTACACTGACAAGTGTAGTAAAAAAAGAACTGAATCATTTTAGCCTTGGACCCACTGGTTTATGAGGAGATCTTATTCAAGTATTCAAAATCATTGACAGTCTTACCAATGGGCTCCTTAGAATCAGCAATGAAACAGAAACAAGTGCTCTTCAGCGAAAAGACTGTCCTTTCTTCACATTAAACAGTCAGTGTTTTGTTTTTGGTCATCTTTTTTGTCTTTCAGAAACATAAGCCTCCAGCACCTTTCTGACCTTTGTAATGTTGGTCTTTCCACTGAGCAGCCTTCACACAAACATGATGTGCACCCTGTAAAACACAAATTCAAGCATACATCTTGGTACTGTACATCATGCAGGGCCTGAAGCAGATGCTCCCACAGCAGGCTTGTGTACTACACCACATGGTGAGGAATAGTTTTAGGAAAACCAAACTGTTAACTGTTGCTGAGAACTGCTTAGATAGGTGCAGAGCTCTGTAACATTAAAATTATTGGTATGAATGTTGGCGTATTAATGACACTCCCACTGTGAGTCAGAAAAAAAGAATAAAAAAAAACAGGCCAAACATGAAAAGCTTGTATAATCATCAGCTTGTCTCTTTCCTCCTAGCAATAATGCAATAAACCTTATAAATGACTGGCTGACACATAAGACTGCCTGACACACCTGACATTTATTGGTGGCTTTCAACACTGCAAAGCTGCAGGTATGTGAATCTGACGAGTCTGGGTTCACCCAGTGTATGTAATAAGGCAGTACATGCTTTTGAGCTAAAAATAGTTATTTATTTCCAGGTGTGTGTTTTCGAGCTAAACTAGGAAATGCAAGCTATGCAACATCCAATTTTAACCTGTATTTAAATATTACTCCTCTATGTACTATTGAGCCAGAAGCAGCATGAATAATGTGCATCATAACTGTAATTGCCTGAGCTACTGTTCACTGCTCTGCTTCCTCAGGGATGACATTTGCAAACATGTGCATCCTTGATTAACAGTCTAAGGGTTTGATTGTTTTGGGAAACGTCACCTCTTTACATTCATTAGTACATAAGACTATTAACACTATGAAGCCCTTTTCACGGATGTTAATTATTTTGTACTGGCTCAAAACATGGGGGCTCTTCCTCTCTTAGTTCTGTTTTACAGGATACGCTTTGAATACTGTGTGAACCATAATAATTATTGCTTTCCTGAAGGGTGTACTTGGCATTCCTGGCTCTGTCTTCTCTAGGTTTAGCACATTTCATTGAGAGCAAGAAATATGTCTCTATGGGAGTGTTCAGGTCTACTAATAGTTTGGTCAACTCTGGTGCCTCCCAGGGCCCCATAATGGAATCTCTTGAGATCTCTTGTTAATTACCCAAGCATGACATGACTATAGCTGTACAAATCTGTAACAGGCAGGTAGCCTATTGACCTGGCCATCCAGATTTCCTGTTGTCAGGTGTGTTAAGTAACTGGTAAGAAGATGCTGCGATCACACAGCAGGACTCTGCGAGAGAACGATGATCAGACGATCAGAAAGTCAATGGATCTTTGTGTAAGCAAAAGAATAAAGTACTGATTTGCTATTGTCGGCCATATTTTTTTCTACCATCCTCTTACATTATTGCATAGCTGATGTTAAATTTTGGACATGGCACAATCGTTCAGAACTTATGAGTAATAAGACCAAGGTCATGCTACAGGAAAGTCCTTATGGACTGCAAAAAGCAAGTGAGCCAGCTTTGTTAAATATGATGTGAAATAGTGAAAGTGGCTTTAAGAAAAAGCCATGTATCCATAAGCACACCTGTGCTAATTGAATAATTGGCATCCAGTGAGTGTGAGATTCCCCATTAGGAAGAGGAGCAAATTGGATAGGCTCTGAGTCAATTTAGCTACTCCCCTGGACTAATGGGAAAGCCAGGAGGAAATAGGTTTCTGTTCTCAAGGAGGAGTTCTCAGTAACCACAGTTTATGTGGCTTATAGGCTTGTGGCACTTGAAAAGCAAGTCTCACGAGAAAGAACTCAGGCTGCACTGAGGGGCATTATGGCTGTGCTGAGAGATTTGTTTGCCAGGTTCTATGGAGTAGATGTGTTCTGCAGAAAAATGGGTCTGGCCTGCTGAACCAGGGTTGATGGTTGGTGTTAGCACCTGTCAAGGTAGCAGTGCATCTCTTCCTCAAAACTGAGAGTAAAGGGAGTCCAGATGGTCCTGTGTCCTTGCAGACAGATGTGTGGTCTGGGTGAGTGTGAGAGAGAACAACCCGGCTGCTGCAGTGAGGTGCAACTTGTAAATAATGAGGACAGAGAGGGATCCCTGGCCAAACAGGATCAACTGGTATAGTTAACAGTGCAGAGTGAGGGGTTATTTGTGAGGGCATGCACTTGGGGAAGATGGTGGGTGAAGTTGAAAGTGCAGCTGATTGAGTTAAAGTGGGTAAATTAGTGAAGAAAAGTAGGAATTGGTGTGATTGGGTGACCTGGAATAAATTGCAAAGAATACTCCTGTGTGAAGGGTGATGATACAATGTTAATGAAAGATCTTAGTGAGTAAACCCTAAGGAGAGAGCAATAAAACAAAAGATCATGCAGACTGCCCCAAGAGGCCCAATGAAACCAATCAAAACAATGGCTGGAAGCTTGAAGGGGTTCCACCCGAGACTGAATACCAGCTCACTAACAGTGCCAGAGCCTTCGCTTTATAAACATGCTGCGTGTGGGCTGCTTTTATTACACAATTATTATTTTACTGTCTATGACTGTCTAAGCTTTTACTGTATAACCGGGTTTTGCTCTGAAATTTTAAGGGCTATTTTTTATGCCACCAAGATACCTTTCCTTCCTCTCAGGAACAACACTGAGTTTTGTTTTGTTAATGGTTGCTGTAGAAAAACTAGTACAAGCTTTTGTTTTGTCCAGGCTTGACTACTACAGTACACTGTCTTACTTTCTGGCTTGTCAAAGAACGCCATAAGAACACTACTAGGCTTAAAACACAGCAGCTAGAGCTCTGGATTAGACTCATTCTAGTCAACGTATAACCCCTGTCTAGAAATTCCACACTGGGCTTCTGTTAAATTTCACATAGACTTTAAGATATTGCGCTTGACTTTAAGGTCATAAAAGGCATCACACTCATTTCTGACCTACTGACAATTTACAGCTTTGTACACTCAACAAGATTGTACTCAAGGGTACGAAGGCTTTTCTTGCTGTGAGGGGAAGGTGTAGATTTTTTTTTTTATTGTTCAAGGCTGTTGGAAGAATCTGTGTTTCCTTACTATAGTGGTGAGAATATTATCTAGCCATGTTGGTTTGTGTGCATTAAGTACCTGTTCTCCTTAAGGATAATCTACACTACAAGGGTTTTAAAGCATTTATTACCTGTAACTGATGTCCTTCTGTCTTTCCTGTTACACACTCATGATTTTCAACATTTTAATACACGCTGACAGCTTCAGCAGTGCAGCTGAATGCCAGGCTTTGCATCATGTTCAGTTTTTTTTTCTCTGTGTTTCAGGTCTAGCACATAGACGCCTACGTGTGTTACATGGAGTGTAAAAAATTAGCTATGCAATGCAATATTCTCTACAGGTCTTGCACATCTAATCCTGAATACCTCAGTATTGAATGTCGCCCTTTTTACCAACCGAGGCAATTTACGTCTGTTACGATGACCGCTGTGTACTTTCACCCGCGTGCTGATGCGAGCTGTACAGCGTCATCAGCAAGTATGAAAACACGTGTCCGGACGATGTCTCTATCCTGGCGGGGGACTTATAAAAGTATACAAAGGTGGTCACATCCTTCATCGGTTACTGTGTGGACAGATGTGATCCTACCAGGAGGATCTGGATAATATCCCAATTAGAAGCCTTGGAAGAACAAACACAATCGCTGCAGACTTAAACTGTGGTCTGCCGCCTTCCAATCAGGTGATAGAGAATTGTATAAGAGATCCAGATATGACCTGGAGAAAGCCATTAAACTGGCGAAATAGGAATGAAATAAAAAACAGCTTGGGGCTAACTAAATGTGCATGTGGCAGTGCTTGCAGGCTATTAGAAACTACAGGGGCATCACCAGCAGAATTTCCTCCACTGAAGCATCTCTACCCGATGAGCTGAACACCTTTTTAGCTGCTATCAAGGCTCCCAGTGAACCAGGGGACTTTGTGTTACAGTTCTCTGAACATGAGGTATGTGGAGCCTTTAAGAGAGTGAAAACCTGTAAAGCAGCCAGCCCAGATGGCGTCTCCCCTCATGTCCTTAAAACCTGTGCATGTCAACAATCTCCTGTATCTCTCTGTCCCTGTCAGTTTGTACCAGAGTGCTTGAAGAAAAGCACAGTTGTGGCACCGCCCAAGAACACCAAGGTAACTTGCTTGAATAATTACCACCCAGTGCTCTCACTTCAGTGGTCTTGAAGTGCCTGGAAAGCCGAGTATTGTCTTATAAAAAACTGCTATATTCCAGACTTATTCAGACAGATGGGGGGCCTATGTTAGGATACTGACAGATACAGATTACAGCTCAGGCTTTACTGCAATTGTTCCTGCCAAGCTGGTCCCAAAATTCAGGAATCTGGGCTCTGGACTTCCCGATGGGCAAACCTCGGGTGGTGAAATATATTGCAAACAATATCTCCTCTACAGTGATCCTAAACACTGGAGCTCCCCAGACTGCTGTCTCAGTCCTAGGCTGTACTTGTTGTTCACATACAACTGTATAGCCACTTACAGCAGCAACAACATTATTAAGTTTGCAGATGACACCACTATTACTGGTATTATATTACATACTATTGTTTATTTAGTTTTATAATAATGATTTGAAGTTATAAAGCACCCTTTTCCCCAAAGAATCCCAAGCACTTTACATACAGTATAGGAAGAATTCGGCTCAATCGATATAATATGCAACAGAATAAGGAACTATGCTGTCAGAAGAGTGAAGAGGGAACCTTTGACTAGGCTCGATGGAACATGTCCAAGATGGAATTCAGCCAGGTCACTAGGGTTAACACCCCCTACCCTTACAAACAGAGTCGTAGCATATTTAATGACCCAGTAGTCAAGACCTGTTTAAAGCACAATATGCCCTTTGTGTAGTTCATGTAGGAGAATGAATACTTTTGCCTTACACTGCATATTTGTTTAATTTATTAGTTCTAGAACTTAAACAAAACTAGTATATTATACAGTATGGACATTATCTGATATGCAATAACTATTATTAAGAATTTTAATAATTATAGTATTTTATATGTATTCTATCTTTAACCCTACATAAACCCTATTTCTTATTCTGCTGACATTTTCATATTATTATTCATAGGCTGAAAATAATAATAATTTCTTCCTTTAGAGTTCTCCACTGAAAACCTTCCCTCCTAAACTTTAGATTAGTAGCCAATGGGGCAAACTAACATATTTGCTTCCTATCATTTCAACTTCTAGTAGTTTATTTATCTAAAGATCCATGTGTCAATATTGGAGGTCTTTGTGAGTTTTTCTAAAACAAATGAACCACATCATGTCTTTTTGAGAGTACAACACCTTAAAGCTTTTAGATCTTCTTTGAATATCCTTACAACTATTTCCAGCAATACCTAATCAAACAATGATCTTTCAGTGAGATACACCTCAAGGCTGACTCATGTCCCTGATCTTTAAACAATGTTGTTGGAATCCAGACTATACACTGTACGTCAACAAAGGATTTAGAAAGAAGATTCGATGACAGATCACTTGGTCAAGATTAATGTGAAAAATGTTTAATTAGGATGGCAGTGGGTCCTGACTGTGTCAGCTCTAGGGTGCTAAAGATTTGTGTGGACCAACTGGGTTCAGTGCTGCAGTACATCTTCAACCTGAGCCTGAGATTAGAAAGAGTTCTGGTGCTCTGGAAGACATCTTCCCTGATGTCAGTACCCAAAAAGGGGCACCCTAAAATCTTGAATGACTACAGACCAGTGGCACTGACATCACACCTAATGAAAACTCTGGAAAGGCTTGTACTGGACCACCTCAGAACCCTGGTGAGTACAGCACTGGACCCCTTGCAGTTTGCCTACTGGTCACGCTTGGGAGTGGAGGATGCAGTCATCTATCTGCTACACAGAGCTAACTCTCACCTGGAGAAGATGGGGAGCATCGTGAAAGTTATGTTCTTTGACTTTTCCAGTGCCTTTAACACCATCCATCCACCTTTACTGAGAGATAAGCTAAGGGCGGTGCAGGTGGACACTCCCCCGGTGTCCTGGATCATAGATTATCTGACCTGCAGGCCACAGTACAGTATGTACGGCTACAGAGCTGTGTGTCCGAACAGGTTGTTAGCAATACTGGGGCTCCACAGGGGACTGTCCTTGCTCCATTCCTGTTCACTTTTTACACCTCTGACTTCAGGTACAACTCTGAAGCATGTCATCTGCAGAAGTTTTTGGATGACTCTGCAATTGTGGGGTGTATTAGAGAGGGGAGGGAGGAGGAATACAGAAGCTTGATTATCAACTTTGTAGAGTGGTGTCATCTTAACCATCTCTAGCTAAACACCAGCAAGACTAAAGAAATTGTTATGGACTTTCAAAGGAATAAGTCTCAGGAATAAGTCTCAGTCTGAGGACATAGAGGGGGTGCAGTCCTACAGGTACTTAGGGGTACACCTGGATGATAAGCTGGAATGGTCTGGTAACACTGACGCCCTGTACAAGAAAGGTCAGAGCCGACTATTTTCTTAGGAGGCTCAGGTCCTTTGGTGTGTGTGGAACAGCCATCTTCTACGCTGTTGTGTGCTGGAGCACCAGCATCATGACAAGAGATGCAAATAGGCTCAATAAACTCATCAAGACGGCTGGCTCTGTGTTGGGGTTGAGTCTTGACCCCCTGGAGGTGGTGGCTGAGAGGAGAATGCTGACCAAGCTCACAGCCATCATGAACAACACCTCTCATCCACTTCATGACACTGTTATTAGGCAGCGGAGCACTTTAAGCAACAGACTGCTCCAGCAATGGTGTTCAAGGGAACATTTTCGCAGGTCTTTCCACCCGGTGGCTGTCAGGGTGTATAACGCTGCCCGAGGCTAGGACTGTTAGCCCTTCATTTGCTTGTCTATGGACAGCAAGTTGCACCATTGCACTTTTTTTTGGACACTCAATCTGTATATACCTATGCACATTTTGCACATATTTTATTTTTACAATGACTATTGGCATATTTTGCATACACCTATGTATTTATTTTTATTTATTTTGTATTACTTTACAAATTTTAATTTTTCATCTATTCTGGGCTGCTGTAACACATCAATTTCCCTTCGGGATCAATAAAGTCTTATCTATTTATCCCTGTGTGTTCCACTTTTATTTCTTGGACAAAAATTGAACCTGGTTTCCTCCCATAGCCCAAAAACTGTTTAGTTGGCTAACCAGCAGCCTATATCGGGATGCTGTATGCAGATAAAGCTGAGCTCTCAAACAGCCTTCTTTAGGCTCAAAGTCAAAACAGAATTAATATTTCCTTGTTCCTTTGCAGCACACACTGACACAGCTGCCTACAAGAATGCACTTAGAAGTATTACAATTATGCAGCCGATTACACCAGTTGTGTATCTCTGAATACAGGAGCAACAGAACCCCGAACTCTAGGCCCCCCAAGAGCTGAGTTTGAGACCCCAAATATAAAGAGATCAGTGTCTCCCTGGAAGAGACCAGCGTCTTCTGTTCTGCTGCTCATTCTGGACTATAGTAGAGCCCGGCACAGCGTAAATTACAATCCGTCACAGACCGTTGATCTGCTTCACCTAACTCTGTAGTTGGTGTCTCGCACATAAGGACTTAAGCATTACTGTTGAGTGTTCAAAAAATAAAACGTCCAAAGGCTGATGCTAATATTTCATTAAGACAGTGCTGAAAACTTACCCATTTGTGGCTTCAGTATAGTCCAGCCATTTCCAGCCTCAGCTTTGTCCTTGAAGGCTGCCTACAGTTTAAGCGAGAGGATGAGAGTGAACAAAGTGGAGACAATTCACGCAAAAAGCTTACAGAAGTTATACAAGTGTCCCGGGTAGCGCCACACTTTCAAAACTGTAATTGTAACTATTTTTTGCACGTTTACGGTTATATACTACTGCACTGTAACACAGGACAGAAGCTTGCACTACAGTACGTTGTAATAAAAGCCACTTTCTGCCAAAATACCTTCTGTTATTTGTACTGCTTTTGAATTTTCGTTATTAAAAACATAACACATTTTAGATACCTTTAAGAGAGCGGTGCTGACTGTACCCAGCCTGAATCTCTGTATTGTGCCGCAGTGTACAGGTAAGCTGTTTTTCACGCTTACACCTTTAAATAAAGTGGTTCTGTACCGACCACGCCCACTTATTTTCAGTGGCCATTTACGTTAGTTAAAGGAAGCCCAGCCCTTGGTTGAATTAAAACACACATGCGGTAAGAAAAGTTGCACTGTGAAAAAAGTGTTATGATATGGTTGGTTCTTTATCCCTGATTTGTTTTTTGCAATGAAGCAGCAAACCACTTGTTACCTCTCTTAACATGTAACGGTAAGTTAAAAACAAAAGTCTAATTATCATTACTTTTTCAAAAATGCTTTATTTCGTTCACTGCCAACGGAGACGCATCAAAGCCCGGGAGACTGATTATTTTCAATTAAAGAAAACTGAGCCATACTTCTTGCCTTTGAATATCCGTTTTCGCTGCGTTGACTGGAAATTCGTTTTCTTTAAACAAGCACGATTAAGGTGATTGACTTTTTTTGATTTACTGATGGAAAATTAAAGATTTAGCTATTATATGTTACAATCGGGGGAAAAAACTACTAAACACAACTGCGCACGACTTTCTACGCGAAAAAAAGTCTTCAAACACTTAGCAGATTTTCAAAATGTATTGTGTCGTTTTAGTTAAAATTTAGGCTGTACTTTAATTTTCTTTGCAAAGTGTCATTTATTATTATTATGCCTGTTCCCATTCTGGAGGGTAAGGTTGTACTAAGAAAAGGCGATTAATTCTGAGGTTTCAACGACACTTCTTTTCCTGTACAGAAATAGACGCTTAAGAAGGACTTCGCCAAGGGTACTGTCACCTACTGCTTTTGGACAACCAGAGTCGTTAATTCCATTCAACCGATATGTCATCTCCTACCTCTAAAAAGAGGAGCACATGGGTTTTTGGAAGGAGGAACTCGGCTTCAAGGAAGGGCGGACCCAGCCGGCGGCCGTCGGGGCTGGAGATGTCCGAGAATGTGGGCACCCCGTCCTATGAGCCCATGCAGTCGGGGTTACAGCCGGAGAGCGGCAGCGGCCCCGACAACAAACGAGCCGGCCCCGGCTGCCACCCGGAGGTCGAGATTGCTGTGGATGGCTCCCACCCGGTTCCCCCTCACCCCGGGGTGAGTTTCGACCCCAGGATGTCCGTATATAGTTGCAAGCGCCCCCTGTTTTCGCGGACCAACATTCAAGGACGAGTTTACAACTTTTTGGAGAGGCCAACTGGCTGGAAGTGCTTCGTCTACCACTTCACTGTGTGAGTCCACTGTCTTGATCTTTGGGCTGTGGGGAATAAGGGTTAAACTGACGTGCAGTCTTTTCATACTGAAAAGGTTTTTGGGGGGACGCGAACTCGCTGACTTGTTTATTATCAGTAGTATTGTTATTACGTGACCAAACGGACCAGAACGGATAACGCGTTTGATACTCCGTTCTCGCCTATCGCACGCTGAAATGCGTGGAGCTGGTTCAAGGGCATTTTTAAGTTCTGCTAGTGCCGCGGTTATACCCCTCTCAAGCATACAGTACATACGCCTTTTCCAACCCTGTGCGGACCAACCAGGACGTTTAGAACAAGGGTTTGCCTTGTAAATTGTAGTCTGAAGTACAAGACCCAAAAACATCAACCAAAGGATTTTACATAGGGCTTTATTTGTGACTTCAAACATATAACGATTTATATAGTACTATTTAATCAATTCATAAGATAGTATTGATCGAGTTGAAAATGGGTTGTTTTGAAGCATCGAAACGAATTGATGGAAATATTATATCCGCAACTATATACGTTAACTTTGGAACAATCTGACATTCTTGACCCTAGATGACTTTATCTCAAATGAGACCCTCAAACTAAGTCGTGATACAAATAATCTTGGCGCATATAATTTTGGTTCTTGATGTTGTGTGCCTCACCGAAAGAAGTGGGTTCATACAGTTTTTTCTCCTTCTAAGCAGGTTTACGATATTTGATTTAAAAGTTATTTCTCGAATGTTCTGTTAATGTTTTGCTTGGCTGACAAGGGGAATGTCTTTTTGTGCATTTCACAGAGCAGCTGAGTTTCAGATGTGTTTTGTGTTTCCTGTTTTGGTTGGTTATGGATTGGCAATATGCTTTGAGATGAAACAGGAAAGACCAAAGAAGTTCATCTAGGTAGAGCCAGAGTATGGTGCTATAAAACGCAGACTTGAATATAACAGCTTTATTAAACCAATTGGGGCATCACTCTCGTAGAAAAAGCCGGAAGACTGACTTTGCACTACTGTAATGTGCACACAGTGTCCTGAAGCATTATGAGATACCTGTTGTACTGTATGTATTAAAGTGTTTTTATATTTCAGCTTTTCAGTTATTGTATGTGTACAGTTTATATCCAGGGTGTTAGGCACCCGTGAGAGATAAGTAATACGTTTATTCCACGCTGAAAACAGAAGAAAGAAAACACAACATTGTGTTTCCTTCTCTTTTCAGCAGGAATAAACCTTTACTTGTTCCTTTGCAGCCTGCGCATGCTGACGCAGCTCCCCACCTGAACTGCTTCTACCCATGAGAGATGATGCATCCTGTCAGTTCTGGGTGGAGGTGTGATAGGTGGCAAAGAGCAGCAGGGTGGCTCAGGGGTCAGCATTGCTGCCTCAGCGCTGGGGCTCTGTGTTCAGTTCCAGATCTGGGGTGCTACCTGCCTGGAGATTGTATGATCTCCTCCTGTTCGTGATGTGTTTCTTCTGTGTGCTCCAATTTCCTCCCACAGTCCAGAGACATGCTGGTTTGAGTGTGTGACTGTGTCTATATCGGTATCTGCCCAGCAATGGACTGGCGTCCTGTCCAGGGTGTACCCTGCCTTGCGCCTGCCTCTTGCTGGAATAGACTTCGGCTCCCCTGTGGCCCTAATTTGGATGAAGTATTTAGAAACTGGATGGGTGTGTAGGTGGCAAAATTATTCTATGTAAAACAAATGATGGTATTTTGATGGATCATTCGCAAGGGATGATTCTCGAGAAAAACTCAAGAAAACTGAAATGTGAACTTTCTGGCTGATTCAGAAATTAGTTTTGGATTTTCCTTCATGGGGTGGATCTGGAAGATCAGCGTTTGACCGAGGAAGCGTTCCAAGCACTACAGGACAGCCCTGTTGTTGAGCCGTTCGTGGAGAAGATGGAAAATGGATGAGAATTTTAAAACCCAACAGAACAAGCTGAATCCATAATTTATTAGATACATAGTCTGTAAATTATCCTTTCTGTGCTGACAGTGATACAGTCATTCATATAGTGACCAATGAAGTTAACAATTTAATTATCTTTATCCAGTTCTTCAGTTGCAATTCTAGTTTCTATGGAACAGTGATTTCATTTTTTTCCACAAAAACTCCTAGCACAAGTAAAACGAGTCAAAATGATATTGCACATCTCAAAATAACCTGTTGTTTACCTGGTGCAAAATGCATTTTTTTAATGATTTCATTTGTTTCATTATTTGATATCAGATGCAGTTGATGCTATTGGTGGATTTATTACAAAATAAACACGACAATTTATATTGTATCAGTCATGCATATTGATTCAGAAATGTAATGGTTACTGATAGGGAAAAGCTAACAAAACACATTCTAATGTTTTCATTTCTTTGTCTAACATCATAAGTCTAACCACTCTGTCCTCATAATATATAACCTCTTGTGTCAAAACTAGATTCTTAATGGTCAGTTCTCAGCGACAAGGCTTTCTTTCACTGAAAAAGAAGCAGCGCTCATCATTTATTTTATTATTAAGTTTAAAGCCGTGGACTTCTGTGAACAGGCTTTATGCCAGTAAAAACAATTAACCTTGAACAATCTGGTCCAGAGAGCAGTTTACATGTATTCATATGGTTTATGTAGAGTACTTATTAGAATTCTGTAAACAGTTGGTAGAAAGAGAATTTAAGTGCTCTTTAGAATGTAGAGAATACTTTCCACGAGATTGATGTGATCCGTTTACCACACCATGTGAAAGAGCCAGTGAATTCCTTTGTTTGCCCATAATACGGTGTTATTAGTGTATTGACATTGAGATTATGATGAATAATTTAATGTTTACTCCTCATGATGTCATATGCCCCCTAACGTTATTTCTGTCAGCACCTTTTGAGTTCATCTGCAGTTGGTAACAATGTGATTATCCGCTTGTAAGCCCTGTCAGATGACGCTCTGCGTTTTCCTACAGGACCTATTTCATTTATCGCGGGGTGGTTACTGTGGTTACTGAACATTGCCGTTCACCACTACGAAAAATGAATCAAACCCGGGCTCAGCCAGTAAAGATGTTAGTTCAGAGAGCGGGTTGAGACCCCTGAACCCAGGACCATGTTACTGGTTTGTGTCTGGGTTCTAGCAGCAGCTGGGTCTAACCAGGATGTCTGACACTATCACAGAGAGTTGCGGCCGGGGCTGGTTTGATATGGGTTGACTAATGTTCTCTCAGCTTTTGACTTCTGGGACCAGCAGGAGTATAATGAGAGATTGTGAGCTACTCCAGTGCTGGTACTGCGTGACGGATTCAAATGGCTCATACAGGGTGTGTTGGCTCATCACGCCATCAGACCATTCTCCCTGCGTGGTACAGGGGCTGTAGCTAACGTGCTGTATCATGAAGGTTTTTAGATGCAGATCCTTCCTTGCTTGCCACTAGTGGTGTGTTAACTGAGCATGAACTTTTCTTTCCTGGGCTAGACAGATGGATGCACCGACTGAAATCGTCATTCTGTAGATTCATGATGCATCGCACATACAAGCCAGCAACTGAACATTCAATTTTGTTTTTAAAAAGTTAATTTTTAGTTAGAGCTGTCATGATGAGGACTGTTGTCTCCCTCTTAAGGCAAGCTTTGTCATTTTTGCTTTGCAAGCATGGAGGATTAGTCTTGTCTGTTACTTTCCTGCTCCTTGTGTGGCAAGTTGTCCTGTAAAAGGACTTTAATAACCACAGTCCTGCCACTAGGAGCTTCCAAAAAGGACACATCAAAGATGTAAATGAGTTTCACACCGTTTGTATTAGTTATCTTCTCACATGGGTGGGTTCTTGGTATGTTTTTTGTGCACAAAGGTGTCTGGGCCAGTCCATCGCCGGGCACACACACACACACCAGTATGTATTTGGACTGCGGGAGGAAACTGGAGCACCTTGAAGAAAACCGCGTGATGAACTCCACACGGACAGCTCCCCAGGTCTTGAACGGAGCCCCGAGTGCCAGCGCTGTGAGGCAGTGGTGCTGCCCTGCATCACTGAGTCGCCCTCAAGATGATGCTTGTCTCAGCCAGAAGGAGGAGCTTACTGTCGAGACAGGCACTACTCAAGGTGGGAGAAAGGGAAATGGCACAAGGCTTGAGCAAAGTCAGCACAGGGTTTTCACCTGTGAAATCAAGGCAGTTTGGGGAGATGGCAGCATTTCGATTGGTTCATGTACTTTGTTTTTTAGTTAAGGGGAGCAGCATCCTCAAAGGCGTTTTAAAAATGGAACATGTCTGTGAATAAATGGGACCATTTCTTGTAACAAAGGAAATGCTAAGCTCTTCCTTTCCACAAGAGAAAACATGACACTCCCAATACCCTCCCCCACCACAGTGCCCATGCACAGCCCCCACTTCACCTCTCCAGTTTGCCCCCACCCCTTCACTCAACACACTTCCAGAACCCTGGGCTGTCATTACAGATACACAACCATTTCTTGCTGTATACTGTATGTAAATATTAATTCTGTGCCCTCCTTTCCAGCTGGACTGGTAATAATAAATAGCGATGCAGTTTCAGCTTCCGCTCTCTGGTTCATCGGATAATCCAAAGCAATATGTGCCAAAGAGTTTCAGGATGACTGTGAAGAGGATATTACCAATACACCTTCCAAGAGGAAGAGTTTCACGTGTAACATTCAGTTTTAGCTCATTAACCTTTGGTTTAGATGTGAGGGCAGTGACTTAAATCATTTCTCCAGTTAACAGAACACAGTAGCTCTTGAAACCTGAGAATCACAGTGGGCTTGAATAGCAGTGCGTCACGCACGCAGTCCGGTCCAGAGCAGTACGTGAGGCTTCTCCGAGACACTGCGTGGACTGTCAGGCGTGGATGTAGGTGTGGAAATTGCCTGCCCATCGCTATTTTTGAAGGATGATCATTTTCACAGCCCTGAAAAGAGGCATTGTTTGATATGATGTTGAAAGTGAATGGCTGAGCTAATTGCCGTGCTTTTGAATGGCTGTGTAATGGTTGTGACATAAAGAA